AGCTCCATATTTAAAGGTGTGAATCAGTAATCTGTGAGATGAAACTCATGAAAGGGGGGATCAAGTAGATGATAGAATTGTCATTTCTTCTGAATCCAAACAAAAGTGACCTCCACTGGGACACATCACAGCTGTTCATTTAGTAATTATAGACAATAGGGAAGCTTAACTAAGATTACTTTTTTAGTACTGGCATTATTGTGGATGCTGGCTAAACCAAACAGCTGCTGTTTCCTCCATAGGATATAATTCTTAGGAGAGTCTTCCTCCTGACTCTGTTTGTTTTACCCCTGGGGACTTGGAGAAGGTGATCCCTTCCTGCAGAGAGGAAGGTTGATGCCTATACTGTGGGTACATATGCATGAAGAAAGGGCTCTTTGGAAGCAGAGACAGAGGTGTGAGTCAGCTGAAGAAAGATCTCTCTCTCTCTCTCTCTCTCTCTCTCTCTCTCTCTCTCTCTCTCTCTGGATCTAATGTAAGGTAATGTATCTGTTGCCCTATAGGAATGCTTCTTTGCCTCCACCTGTGCTCTGCTTGTACATTTGTAAATAAATGAAATAAATAAATAAAATTATGAAGACCCTGTACTCTCCAGTGTGCTCTCATCCAAAGGGAGCCAACCCAGGTAAGTGTTGCCTTCTCATTGCTGAGAAAAGAGAGCAGGGAACAATATCTTACTTTTAACTAAATTTAAATTTGCTTATTTATTATATTAACTCCATGGTTTGTAACCACTTGCTTTGCTGATTGTTTTTCTAAGAGGGATCTTTTATTAACCTTTAATTATTTCATTAATTTGTCTCTAGGAGTCACATTCAAGAACTATATTCAGCATAACTCTTAAATAAATTTGCAGGACCCCAAAACACTGCCATACCATCAGGGACATCCTCTGACCTCTACTATTTATCTTTTTACTTCATTTATACCCTGCTTTTCCTCTCTAATAGGGACCCAAAGTGGCTTACATTCTTGTCCTGTCTTTCATTTTATATCTGTTTTATGCATGCCATTGGTGGTCTTTGGCCATTTACATTGGCCACATGTATTGAGAGCATTTCAACTTCCCTGGACATTGAGTTAGAAATTGTAGTATTTTAGCAAAAAAGTTTTAAAGGGAGACTCAGCCAAGATGCTGCCGAATAGAAATTCATATGCAGATCTAATATCACCAGAGTTTGACTTGAAAAAGATTTATACTACAAAAGCAGTTTTTCCTTCTTGAAGGTTTATGCAGACTATTTGAATGATCCTGTTTTAATACTATATCAGCAGCTGGGAGTGCTCCACATAGAACTGACAGGTTCCTCCAGGCAGCTGGCAGGGGATTGGGGGGGGGGAGCTTATGGAGAGCTGGGAATTTCTTTGCATGTTTTAGGCTGTGGTCACACGGGAAGATAGTTCCGCTTTGTTCCTGCTTTAATTTAATCGGGAACATTTTTCTTCGGGTTGGGCTGATTAGATGCAGCCGGCCTCTCTCTTCCACCACCCGCTCGACTGCCAGTTCCTAAGGAAAATCGCCGTGCATTACCCGTGTTTTTTTTTTAAAAAAAGCTTCTGGTTTGAGCGCTTGAGCAAGCATGCGCGTAATAAATCCATTATTAAACGTTATTTTATGTTCATTTCTCTGTTTAAAGATAATATGACAGCTCCAGCAAGCCGCCTGCCTGACCAGCCCCGGAGGGGCGGGAAAAGGAAGACCGGCCGAGAGGGCTGCTGCACTCAGCTCGGCTTGTTGGGGCTGCGGCGGAACCTCCACCACGCCAAGTCCCTCCAGGCGATCCTGCCAGCCACGGGGCAGGCTCAGGCGGCGGCTGCTCCTGCTGCCGCTGTGGACCCCGCCGTCTCCGCCATCCTCCTTCCTGGGGAAGGGGCTTCTGTTTCTTACAACAAATTCATATTATCTTTAAACAGAGAAATGAACATAAAAATAACATTTAATAATGGATTTATTAAGCGCATGTTTGCCCAAGCACTCAAACCGGAAGCTTTTTTTAAAAAGACAAAAACCCCAAAGAGCGTTCAGATGGCCCTAATCGCAATCATTGTGAAAGATGGCTGTCCAGATGGGCGAAATTGCGCATTCCAAGCACAAGTGCCAGGAAAATACTTGATTTTCCAGGGGGCAGGAAAACCCAGGAGCATTGCGGGAGTGAGCCCGCTTCGGCGCGGAAGGTGGATTCGCCTGTCTGATCAGCAGACTTAAATGTGGGAGGGAACAGCGGCAAACCCTGATCAAAAGGACCGTGTGACCGCACCCTCAGTGATGTCCCCACATGACTTCCATTGTGACCCGGAAGTCACTTAGGCACATTGGGGATGTCGGGGCAATGCTCTGGTTTTGAGAGCCAGTTTGGTGTAGTGGTTAAGTGTGCGGACTCTAATCTGGGAGAACCGGGATTGATTCCCCACTCCTCCACTTGCACCTGCTGATGTGACCTTGGGTCAGTCACAAGCTCTGGCACAGCTGTCCTTGAAAAAGAGCAGTTTGTGTCAGAGTTCTCTCAGCCCCACCTACCTCACAGGGTGTCTGTTGTGGGGAGGGGAAGGGAAAGGAGTTTGTAAACCGCTCTGAGACACCTTTGGGTAGTGAAGGGCGGGGTATAAATCCAATCTCTTCTTCTTCTTCTTCTTCTATAGAAGTTAATTCTACCATAGAATTCTATCAAAGAGTTTTGCCCGAAAACCAGAGCATTGCCCCAATGTTCCTGACATGCCTACATCACTTCTAGATCATGCTGAAGTCATGTAGGCATGTTGATGAAATGTCGGGTGTTTCTCCTTTATTTTAGGGGGTAATCCCCCCCTGTCAGCCAGCTGATCCACAGCAGAGAGGTGGGGCCTGGCAGACCCCAACCCCCATCAGGGGGTCTGACATCCCTAGGTCCACACCTAGGCTGAGTGGATTGATTCTTCCTTCAACTGGATATCATTTTAATTTGTGCTCTGCAATGTCATGTCACATACTATGCACTGGAACAACTGGGCCCTCTGGCCTTTCTACTACTTTTTGAAGTTCTGAATATAAATACAGCTACCAAATGAATGCACATTGTTCTGATGAAGTGGCCTCTGGCTCATGAAAGCTTATAGCACAATACATTTGTATTTAAGGTACCACAAGGCTCTTTCATTTTAATAATTATTCTGGAACGTTTAATAAAGTATTTCTATTATTTTTGCTGGTTTGTGCCTTGGAGACTTCTGGGAGTAGGACACGGGTTTGACTCTAAAGGAGGGAATTTACATGAGCTTTCACACATTCTAAATAATGCACTTTCAATTCACTTTCAATGCACTTTAGTGATAATTTGGAAGTGAATTTTGCATTTCATACAGCAAAATCCAGTTGCAAAGTGTGCGGAAAATGGATTGAAAGTGCATTGTTCAACATGTCACATCAAGATCCTGTCCTGCAACAGAACCAATTTGTTTCTTGATCTAGATGCAAGGAGAGTTGAATAGAAGTAGTTTACTTTTGCCATCAGAGCATTTCAGGGTTTCGAATTTCAGGGTGTCATACTGGCAAGCACTAACTGTCTGCTTAATTCTTCCATCCCATAATAACTGTCCACACATAATCTATTCTGGACAGGAAAGTATTTTTTTTCCAATGACATACTGATAGACATAGCTGGAGAGCTGAAGGGATGAATACTGAATCTTCTCACAAAAACAAAAGCTTTGTCACAATAAGCTTGTGTGGTATAGTGGAGTACTGGACAAAGACCTGGGAAAGACTGGGCAAAATGAAATTAAAAAAATACATATAGCAAATAAGGCTGATATGTTAAACATTTGCAAACAGATTATTCCAATGGAGGGGCTGCAATGGCTTAGAAGTTCAGATGCTGAGCTGCAGACCGAAAGGTCTGTAGTTCAGCAGTTTGACACCCTAGTGCCACATGACAAAGTGAGCTCCTGTCTCTGGCCCCAGCTCCTGCCAACCTAGCAGTTCGAAAGCAAGAAATTGCAAGTAGATAAATAGGTACCACTTCGGTGGGAAGGTAACAGCGTTCCGTGCGCCTCGGCGTTTAGTCATGCCGGCCACATGACCACAGAAACGTCTTCGGACAGCGCTGGCTCTTCGGCTTTGAAACGGAGATGAGCACCGCCCCCTAGAGTCGGATTCGACTGGCTTTCGAGCAAGGGAAACCTTTACCTTTACCTTATTCCAATAGACTCCATACGTCTCCAGAGATCTGTTCCACCTTCCAAGTACATCCTGTAAAAGTTTATATCACTTCTTGAGGGGACATTTGGCTAGTTGTTATGACTACATTTTGAAAGTGCAGCTGAATTTAAGCTGAAACTGGAATACCAGTATAAACCCTGAAAACTTCCCCCCAAACATTTCATTTTGAAAAGGAGACTGTAACTTCCTATGAGGTTAGATTACAACATTTTGTTTCTGCAAGTTACTTAAGTGCATCTCAAAGCAACTCGTCGGATAAGCTGTTTATTTTCTTCAAAAAAAACCCTGTTTTTGAAGTGTGTGGTGTTTGTATGTGTGCATACAGATGCCTAAGAACCTATCAAGAGAAGCACATAGAAAGCTTAGCCTCAAACAGACTGTGGTAGCTGTTGCCACAAATAGCATACTTTACCATTAGGAAACCTGCTAGAGAAAATTATATGTTCACTTCCTCTTATGGACTTTCAGTGTACATTTTATTTTTGCTACCTTAACATTTTCTCAAAGAGGCTGGTCTGATACCCTTTATTCATACCTACTGTTTGTTTCAGGGTAATGTGCCAACCATACCTGGAATCTAGGGGTGCTGGGACAGAAACAAGCGTATGCCTCTAGGAGCAATTTGGTCCTGCAGATTCCTTTACAAAAGCTGCTTTTTGAGAGACAGAAGAACAGCTGATCCAACTTCTGTAATTTTGTATGAAGTAAAACTCTGGGAGTGCTTGTGGATTGTCATCTCTCTACCTCAAACTTTTCTCTGCCGGGCTCCCCCGCTCTGAGAACAGCTCTTGAATTTCAGTGGATGATGACCAAGAGTAACTTATCCAAGGACACCCTACTTATTGTCTACATCGCTATTGAGGCCCTCATAGCAGTGATGGCCACCTTGGGAAATGCTCTGGTCATCTGGGTGGTGAGACTGATCCCAGCCAGCCAGAATACTACTTTTTACTTCATTACGTCATTGGCCCTGGCTGATATTGCTGTTGGGATTCTTGTTATTCCATTGGCCATTGTAGTGAGCGTGGGGATTACAATGCACTTCTATGCTTGCCTCCTTGTCTGCAGCCTGTTGATGGTTTTTTCTCATGCATCCATCTTGTCCTTGATGGCCATAGCAATCGATCGGTATCTCAGAGTAAAGTTTCCCACACAGTGAGTATCATTACATTGTAAGCAATGGATCTCATTCCAGAATGTTGTAGCATGTTTCTTGCATCAATACTGTCATGGCTCCTGTAGTTTCCTCTCTGTTCTTTCTTCCAGTCCACATAGATTCAGAAATTAACCTGTCTACAATGTCAGTAACTGTGGCATCAGTGTTAGGCTTTGTGTCAGAAATGTACTAAACAACATCTACCCCGTCAATATCCCTTCAAAATATTTTCAATTCAAATGGAATGATTTCTGGGCAGTTGGAAATCTTCTGTTCTGACCACTGTTCCACTGCTGCACTTTCTATGTTGAATGCTCTCAAGCAGCAGGAAGGGCAGCAAGGGAAACAACAACAACAACACCTTATCCTATCTACTAGAATAGTCCCAATTAGTGTTCCCTCTAAGCCGAGTTAGTGTGAGCTAGCTCACAGTTTTTTAGCCTCTGGCTCACACATCTTTGTCTTAGCTCAGGAAGGAAGGCTCCAGAGCAAACTAATTTATTCAGTAGCCAAATTGCTCGCTCACAACTTTAATGCTAGTGGCTCTCAAAGTAGAATTTTTGCTCACTAGACTCCACAGCTTAGAGGGAGCATTGGTCCCAATAGTGTACAGCATTTGCACTTTCTGCTGATCATCACATATTCTCAGTGGCTTTGGGAATGCTTTCTGATACCATACAAGCTTAGGTCCTGTGTTTACCTGAGATGTTTTGTTCTCTGAGGCTCCACATGCCAGGCAGCACTAAAGTATTTTCTTGCCTATCTCTCCCCTACATGATAAGCAATCTCCTGTGGCTTTCTCCCCCCCCCCCAAGAGCAAACATACAAGAGAGATTAGTGAAGCCATAGGATCAGATAACGTCTGATTCCAGATGTCGATTAACTTTTATAGCATGGCAGGCTTGGTGGTGGTAGCTGATACACTAGGGAGATTATTTTCAAATTACAAAAATCCCAGAGCACATACTCAAGGGGAGCTAACCCTTCGCACCTTTTCTTGCTGTACTTCATAAAGCATATGTTTCCCTAGGCAGACTCCAATAGCTAAACTGAAAGAAACAAAGCAGAGTGAGGCAAAACACAGCAGGGGATAGGGCTGAGCTTGAGCCTGAAATGTGGAAGATCCCTTGGGTGACGGGGGAAGTCCTGTGGCATTTATTTCAAATGCTGGTTGTAGTGGAAATATGCTCCCCTTTGAAAACTGGAAATGATGACTCTATTGATTTCATTATTCAACTACATTTACTTGCAATGTTGAAGTAAAGTTATGTAAAATCATAAGAGCTAAATCCAAAGCAAGGTGTTTTCAGCACAGTCCTAGTCAGCGCTGTCTTTCCCATATCCTATTTGTTTCAACTTGCTAGCCATCAGAAGCCTCTCAAAAAGCAGTCAAGTGACAGGATGCCCTTCTCTACCAATGTCCCAGCAATCAGGTAAAGATTCACTGCTTTATATCTAGGGAGTCTATGAGGTACAATCTGTGAACTCCATCCTGCCATGAAAACTCACTCGGTGACCTTGGGCCAAACCTACATCACAGGCTGATGACATCAGGGTAAAATGGAGCGGGGGGGGGGGAAGAAGGATGTAACTGCTGTGGGTCCCTATTTGGGACAAAAGCAGGGTGGGTATAAATATCTAAACTAATTAAAATAAACTACAGCCATTTTAATCTTTTTTGGTAATAAATTGTTAAGAATAACTATTACTCTATTTGTGTTTTTAATTTTAATTTGATAGTGTAATAATCTCTCTATACCCAGAATAAGTGCCCTAAATCCCAAATTGCCTTAGACCTTCTCATCAAAAACAGATGGGGGCAAGACAATTCTGTTCTTTTATTTTTTTTATTTCCCTATTCTTCCCCTCCCCCCCCCCACACTTTGCCATCCCTACTGCATTTTTGCCAAATTGCTACATTATTTCATTCCCATCCTGCTATTTCCCCCACAATATTGTTTTCTTCTTTGCCCTTTCCCCTTTCCCACTGTTTCTCAACATGAGTTTCTCCCTCATTCTTACTGGCTAGGTACCAGGTAAGGCAAGTTGCCATTTGACTTCACAGGTTTATGGGCTATGTAAATTTAGACAACCTCCAACACCTTTGTGATCATTGGGCGGGGGGGCGGGGAGACACAGGGGTTTGGTTGGAGCTTAGGAACAGCAAGTCATCCCTTTAGTTGATTGGCTTCATTGTATGAATAGGGGATGGTTAAGGATGACATGCTGGAGCTTATTGATTTGTACAACTCACAATGTCCAAGGTTCAGTAAGGCAGGAGTGGGGAAAGCACATACCATTTTACAGGGGGGGGTTTGTAGAAAAAGCCCAGCAGGAACTCATTAGCATAATAGGTCACACCCAACAGCAGAAACTCATTAGCATATTAGGCCACACCCCTGACAGCACAGCTTATTAGCATACTAGGCCGTACCCCCATGTTACCAGAAGTGTGGTCATCCGGCCACACTCACCTTTTGCTTCTTATTCTGTTTACCTTGTTTGTTGTCAAAACCCAGGGCCTTTTTTTGTAGCAGGAACTCCTTTGCATGTTAGGCCACACACCCCTAAAATAGCCAATCCTAATGAGTTTCTGCTGTTGGGTGTGGCCTATTATGCTAATGAGTTCCTGCTGGCCGTGGCCAACTCGGGAGCCAGCCGGAACTCCGTTCCTGTGCGTTCCTGCCCAAAAATAGCCCTGCCATTTTAAGATTCCATTTAGGTATGAGTGAATGCAACAGATTTCATGCAACCTGATTTCAGTAAAATAATTGTGTATGAAGATGTTGCAAGAAGAAAAAGAAGAGAAGAGATTGGATTTATACCCCGCCCTTCACTCGGAGTCTCAGAGCAGTTTACAAACTCCTTTCCCTTCCCCTCCTTACAACAGACACCCTGTGAGGTAGGTGGGACTGAGAGAGCTCTTTTGAGGACTGCTCTTTCAAGAACAGCTCTGACGGAACTATGGCTTGCCCAAGGTCATCCAGCAGCTGCAAGTGGAGGAGTGGGGAATCAAACCCGGTTCTCCTAGATTAGAGTCCATGCACTTAACCACTACACCAAGACCTGGGTATAAAAGAAGTGCAACTGATATGGGTGCTTGCTTTTTTTCAAAATAGGTACAGGATAATTGTCACACGGAGGAGAATCTGGATCGCTCTAGGAACTTGCTGGTTCATCTCTCTTCTGGTTGGTCTTATGCCCATGTTTGGATGGAACCAAAGGAACCCCCAAAATCCCAGCTACTTGGAATGTTATTACCAAAATGTGATGGACATAAATTATGTGGTGTACTTCAGCTTCTTTTCCTGGATCCTTGTTCCACTGCTGATCATGTGCATCCTCTATGCAAGGGTCTTCCACATCATCCAAACAAAGCTGAAGCAAAATGCAACATCCATCAAAGGATCAGGAATATTTTATAGAAGGGAGTTTAGAACAGCCAAGTCTTTGGCCCTGGTCCTTTTTCTGTTCATTATGTGCTGGCTGCCTTTGTGCATTCTGAACTCAGTCTCACATTTCTGCCAAACATGTAAAATGCCCCAAGCATTGTTATATGTAGCCATTCTGCTCTCCCATACCAATTCAGCATTGAACCCCATTGTTTATGCCCTCAGGATCAACAAGTTCAGAAAAACTTACACCCTGATTTTGAAAACTTACATCTTGCAAATGAAACGAGAACCAGATGTTTCTGGTGCTGAGAATAATTCAACAGACCAGTTGTCAGAAGATAATCTCTGAAAGAACTAGTGTTCAATTACTCAGCCTCAGAGAGAGTCCAGTCCATATACTGCCAGTACCATGTCAGCTGCAGTGGTTGTCTATTTGCTTCCAGGCCTAATGCTCAGACTGCATCTCCCAGTATTCTCTGTCCTCAGCCTTTTCCGGTTAGTACCCTCACCTAGGATGGTCCATTTGGCAACAGTCCTGTCACAGGCATCCTCTGTGATAAGTCCATTAGTCTGGAATGGCTTGCCAGAGAGAGTGCGGCAGGCACCTTTGGTTGCCACATTCAGGAAGGCATGCAAGAGTGTCCTGTGCCAGAGAATAAACTATTTTAGTGGGATCAACTCTGTGTGCTGGCTTCTAACTCCATGTTTCGCGGGGGGAGGGGTGGGGCGAAACGTTCCCTTGCCTCCCTGAGCCCCGGGGTGGTGGCCTTGGACGCGTAGCAGCAAATTCCACCTCTCGCGTCTGATGTTCGAGCGGTGTTGTCGCTCTTACATCACACATGAGAGATCATTCTGGCTCCCCCTGGTCTCAGGAGGGGCTCTTAAAAAGTTATGGCCGCTGCCGCTCTTCTCGGCGGTGGCAACGATGCCCGCGTGGGGGGAGGTGCGGGGCGAAATGTTCCCTTGCCTCCCTACGAGTCCAAAGCCCCGGGGTGGTGGCCTTGGACTCGTAGGGGCAAATTCCACCTCTCACGTGTGATGTCCGGCGGCAACATCACACGCGAGAGGTCATTCTGGCTCCCCCAGCTCTCAGGAGGGGCTCTTTAAAAATTTATGGCCATCGCCGCTGCTGTTCTCGGCAGCAGCTGTGACGCCCTTGTGGGGGGAGGGGCGGGTCAAAACATTCCCTTGCCTCCCTGAGCCCCGGGGGGGTGGCCTTGGACTCGTAGGGGCAAATTCCACCTCTTGCGTGTGATATCCGAGCGGCGTTGCTGCTCCTACATTACACATACGAGAGGTCATTCTGGCTCCCCCAGCTCTCCTTTGGGGCTCTTTAAAAAGTTATGGCCGCCGTTGCTGTTCTCAGCGGCAGCTGCAATGCCCGCGTGGGGGGAGGTGAGGAGCGAAACGTTCCCTTGCCTCCCTGAGCCCCGGGGTGGTGGCCATGGACTCGTCGGGGAAATTCCACCTCTCGTGCGAGAGGTCATTCCAATGCCCGCGTGGGGGGAGGTGAGGAGCGAAACGTTCCCTTGCCTCCCTGAGCCCCGGGGTGGTGGCCATGGACTCGTCGGGGAAATTCCACCTCTCGTGCGAGAGGTCATTCTGGCTCCCCCAGCTGTCCTTAGGGGCTCTTTAAAAAGTTATGGTCCCCTCCGCTTTCGGCGGCAGCTGTGCACGGCTGAGCTGCCCCCCCCGCTTTTTTCAGGCTCCGGGCCTGAAAAACAGCCTGCAGAGTCGCCCGCTCACCCTCCCCTCCTTTTTCAGGCTTCGCGCTAGAACGCCGGGCCTGAAAAAGGGCCAGCCGAATGTCAGTTACGGCCCCATTATATCCTATGGGCCATTGGAGTCAATGGCGAAAACATAGGGTATATTCTGGGGGCTGGAGGGGAGGGGCTTTGAGGGAAAGGCTCCAAACTCACAGGGTAGCTGCTGGAGCCTCTTCCCAAGACACCAACTATGTTTTAAGAACATTGGACCAGGGGGTCCAATTCTATGGGGCCCCAAACAGGTTGACCTTATTCCCTCCATTGTTCTCTATGGTGGGAAAAAAGTAACTTTTCCCCCACCATAGAGAACAATGGAGGGGATGGGGACAACCTGTTTGGGGGCCCGTAGAATTGTACCCCCTGGTTCAATGTTCCTGAAGCATGGTGGGTATCTTGGGGAGAGGCTCCATTAGCTACCCTCGATTTTGGAGCCTCTCCCTCAAAACCCCTCTCCTTTAGCCCCCAGAATATACCCTATGTTTTCACCATTGACTTCAATGGCCCATAGGATATAATGGGGCTGAACTGCGGGAAGCCGCTTCAGATCAGAGAGTCTGATTCGGCCCGCAGCAGCCTCAAAGGGACCTGAATAGGCCATATTCGGGGGTGCATTCGGTTCAGACAAACCGAATGCACATCCCTCCAGCAGCTGGCTTGCTCGGGCTCTCTTCAGCCCGAGGGGACCCGCGC